CCTGTCTCAGCAAGGCAGAAGGAGAGAACCAACTACCAAGTTGTCCTCTGACCTACACACACACAATATGACAACATTGTGCATACATACAACTCTCTCTCTCTCTCTCTCTCTCTCTCTCTCTCTCTCTCTCTCTCTCATACACACACACACATCATGCACACACACATGTGCACACATACACACACACACACACACACACACACACACACACACACACTAATAACAAAGTAGACTGGCTTATGTTGCTTCTTGACTTTCATGAGAAATCTTCTGGTTACAATGATGAACTGCTGATAATAGGTAGTTAGTAAAATTTTGGTGTCACATGATGTCCATTTCACTCATTCATTTCTCACCATGGTAGTCTAGATGCTACTCATTTATAGAAGAAGAGAACTGACAGACTTCTAGAGAAGTAGAAGGAACTGCTCAGTTTCATATAGCTCATCAACATGAGCAGGGATGGGAACCCACACCTATGGTGATATTTTATTTGTATTAAAATGTTATTTGTATGTTAATAAATAAAGTTGCCCAGGGTCAGAGCTATTAACAAGCCATAGGAAACCAGGGCAGTGGTGGCGTATGCTTGTAACCCCAGCACTTGGTAGGCAGAGCTAGGTAAGTCTCTGTGTGTTCAGGGATACAGCCAGTATTGGATACACATGCCTTTAATTTCAATACCAATCATAGAAAACCTGGAGGCCTATACAGACAGGCTGTGAGGAGGCGGTCATGTGGTTGGGTTTACAACCAGTGAGAAGGCAGAACAGGAACTCTATATAAAGACTTTAACACAGAAAGTAGCTCTAGTTCGGAGAGGTAGGACCACCGCAGGAGGAAGGGTAAGGTTTTAGCTCTTAGCTCTGACCTCTTGGCTTTCTTCTTTGCATTGGTTCTGTGTTTCTTATTTAATAAGAAGGTTGGTTACATCTACACACACCTGCTTGACGCTGAAACCTAGGCTCTTAAACATAATATTGTATTACATTTAAAAAAAAAAAAACGGCCAGGCGGTGTTGGCGCACGCCTTTAATCCCTGCACTTGGGAGGCAGAGCCAGGTGGATCTCTGTGAGTTCAAGGCCAGCCTGGTCTACAGTCACAGAGCAAGATCCAGCACAGGCATCAAAACTACACAGAGAAACCCTGTCTCGAAAAACAAAGAACAAAAACAAAAAATAAATAAATAAATATATCTAAAAAAAAACCCTCAGGGGTCTATCGATATTACAATATTTACTAAATACTGACTGGTAGACAAACTTCATGCAATGCTCTTCTTTTCCAATGCTACTTAATGCCTGGTTGAGATCTGAACCATCATATTTGTGTTTGGGTTTTGAATTAGATGTTAAGTTCCAGGCAGGGAGAGATTTTATATTGTCTCATGACCCGATCTTCCCCACAAGGTCCATGTCTTGTTCTAAATGCTCAGAAATATTTTTAGTATGAATGACTAAATACTGGGGTAATCTTACTCTACAGTTTATATGGATGGAAGAAATTCTATGCACTAAACAGAACTTCATATTTAAGGTTTTAATAAAGATGACTGCAGATCAATACCCTGGCCCCTACTTACTATGTTGTAGTAAGCCTGAGGAAAACATGACATAGTCCGTCCCCTTAGCCTGAACAAGCCTTTTTATCTGTCTACAATAGATGTTAATTTCACAGTGATGAAGAACTAGTCATGCTAAAGATTTGAGTTAAAACATGAAACACATCTATTTCATGTCCTTTATCAATATGTAAAATGCTAAGATACATTACTTTACAGAAGGTTAAAAGGTAGTTTTCACACAATTCAAATGGTAAACCTAGGCTTATTAGCCCATATTTTATACCTTTCTCTGAGTGACTTGCTTGTATAATCTTATTCAGGTATTTGAAAGTTGTTTGATTTCCCGAAAAGAAGCTTAACCTAGTGGAAAATAAGTAATTCTCCTGGCTCCTAGCCAATAATTCTGTAATTATACCAGTCAAATAAATTTTAATATGTTACCTCATCTCATGAGATCATAGAGAAAACTATTTTCTACTTTACTATCATTGAGAATACCTAAAATAAATCCCCAAGGTTTAATTATAGAAATGAGAAATTATACAAAATACATGTTTTCTTAATTTTACCAAAACTGTATCAAGCTGTACTACATACTCACTAGAACCCATGGGTTTAAATAGTTCAACCGAAGAACCAAAGCAGATATGACCCTTACATTCACTGCTGCAAGCTCCATACACCTGCCTCTCTTGAATGCTCTAAATGGCACTTCAAGTGTTTTGTTTCTGAAAATAGATTTGAGAGCCAAAAAAATGAGCTCCATAAAAATGTGTGGGACTGTTTCCATCCGATCATTTCCCATAAGCAAAATGGACCTATGACTATGCTTATGATTATTTAAAAGTGATAATTTATGGCATAAGGTTGTGATTTATAGTTTAACCTGGGTGTTATTTTCATATCTTTGAATTTCTATCTTCCCACTGGACAAATGAAGGTTCTTCCTGCCTTAAATCCACCTTAGAGGAATTATATAAAAGTTCAGATGAAATGATGGAAGCACTTTGACAGTCTCTAGTGTTAGATGTTAGCTCTTGATTCCTTTAAACAGCTTTGACTGTCACTTGCACAGATAATGAAGATGATCAGAAAGAGAAATGGTTCTTCCTACTATAGGCTTTATTCCGAATTTCTCCAGCTATAGCAACAACTACAGCAAGATAATATTTATGATTTTTGATTGTCTTAAAAAAATAGGAAGATGAGTAACTGTGTTCTACAGAATTTTATTCTAGAAATGTTAGCTTCACCATGAACTATGCACCTTCACCGAATTTTTTATATTCCAGTTTCTACTGAAAACTTTTGCATTTTAACAATCTTTGATGAAGTCTATTCAATCTAGACAATTTCTACAAACCAAAATTGAATAGTTGATTTTGAGTTTATCCCCTAGAGTTCCTGGAACTGCCGTGATTAAAATTTAAAATATAATTACAGGTAGCACATTGAGTCAGTCAGTTAGTCAGAGATCTGAGCTTAGTGAATGCTTACTTCCTGCAGCATATTGCAGTAAGTGTTCTGGAGGAGGGCAGGGGTGGGTGGGAACAGTCAACCATGAAATGATTTAAGGATTATTATTAAAACAATATATCATCAAGTGCAAAGTACTCAGGCAGAAACTATATATAAAAGTCAAAGGAATGGAGAGTAAGGAGGGCTTCTTCCCAGCTTTAATGATCTCTATATGTTTAGTGAATGTATTTGGAGACTGTTGGTAGCTTTGGGAGCACACTGACAAAACAAGTTAAACTACTGATCTATGAACAGGCAGGCTGGGTTGGTACAAAGCAATTCTACAATTTCTTTTCAATGAACATTCTTATGGAACTCAGGAAAATGGTCAAGGAGAAATCTGTTTTGGAGTACTTACAAAAAATAGTGCAGATAGTTCATGTGTCAACCTCCCTAAGTATCCCCAAATGTTAATATCTTACATCACCATAGTAACATCTTCAAAATCAACAACCAACACTGGTGCATTACAATTAAATAAACGTTGGACTTTATTCACATTTTATCACTTTTTCCACTAATATTTGTTTTTTTTTTCTATTCCAAGACTCAATCCAGGTTGAGAGAGAAAGAGAGTTGAATATCTCAATATTGAGATTCAAACAGCATGGGTTTCTGAACAACAAAGCTAATCAGTGCAAGACATTAATGTTGATAGAAATAAAATGAACTGAGTGTCCCAGAGTCATCTGCACACACCATACTGACAGGTGGTTAGCCAAATCAGAGGAAAAGTAAGCCTAATTTTGCAGTCAGTCATCGATCTCTCTTTCATTTACCCAAAGATGCTGATTATATCATATATTCCCATAACTGCGAAGGTTTTTTTTTTTCGTTTTTTATTTTTTGTTTTTTTCCAAAACAGGGTTTCTCCGTGTAGTTTTGGTGCCTGTCCTGGATCTTGCTCTGTAGACCAGTCTGGCCTTGAACTCACAGAGATCCACCTGGCTCTGCCTCCTGAGTGCTGGGATTAAAGGCATGCACCACCACCGCCCTGCTGTACTAAGTATTTTTATTGCACATACATAATAACATGTTGATATAAAGTCTTTTGTAATGCCTGGTTCTGTCTTCTAGATTTTTCTACATGAAGGAAGACATGGGAAGAAACTGATTTGGACACTAAATCAGCTTGTAAGGAGAGATCACTATGGTAGTCAAAGGAACAGAACCCTCAGTGACCTGCTTCTGGGTGTCATAAGATAAAAACAGACCAACACTATTGGATCTCCAATAAGCATAGGCGTCAAGAGTACCTGGAGGGCTTGCTAAAGTACAGATGTGACTGTCCCAGGGCCTCTGGCTCAGCATGGCCCAGGTGTCTGTACTTCCAGGGACTGTGGCCATGGTTCACTCCACTAAGTTAATCTTCATAGGTACTTGTCCAAGAGGGACATGTAGATTTGTTTGTTGCTTACTGGTCAGATATGGGATCTGGTAACTCTCACTCCAGTTCTGTTCAAGAATAAAGCTACTGGCAAAACCAAGCATATCAGATTCCCACAGTATTTTTACCATCTGGTCTTACCTTGAGACAATACAGTCAATTAAAAAATAAATAAAACATTGGGTTTTTTGACAAAAAATAGTATTTAAAACTAATCATAGCTGGCCATGAAGGCACATGCCTGTCACCGAGCCCCTGGAAGGTACAGGCAGAAGGACCAGGAGTTCAAGGTCATCCATCCTCAGTTGTACTAAGGCCAGCCCCCAAGCTACTTGAGACTCTATATCAACCATGCCCCTCATAATAAATAAATAAATAAATAAATAAATAAATAAATAAATAAATAAATAAATAAATAAAAACCCACATAATAAAAAATGAGTCTAATAAAAATTTTTTTTTTGAAGCCCTAGCTGCAGCTTTATTTTCCAAACCATTTTATTGAAATGTGCCAAGATACATGGGCAGCACAAATGTATGAACAGGGAAAAAAAAAATCACACATACAGTTATCTTAAAAAGTGAAGGTTAATCTTGGGAGATACCAGTTCCCCTCCCCCCCTCCAGAGTTCCAGAATTTCCATTGTGGTTAAGCGTCTACTGACCTAGCATTTAAAAAGAAACAAAAACTGCAAAAATAAATCAAAACAGAACAAACCCAAAGAAAACCAACAGCATAAAGGAAAGACGTTTTCCTGCTCGGACGTGCTCTTGCCAGCATCTAATTAGGAGGCGTGCTGCGCGGTGGAGAAGCACAACTTCAGGGTGTACGGGTACGGGCCGTTTGGGTTTTTCATCTGGTAATGGTTCAGGAAGCCCAAGGTCTCCAGAGCATCGCTCTTAGAGTCCCACTCCAGCAGCCCAGAGGAGCTGCGCTCACTTTTGCCTGAAAATACTTTCACAGAGGTTGGCCGCTTCACTCCCAGCTCATCGCAGATCTCAAAGAAGTTCTCCTCGGTCACCTCCAGCGGAGCATTGAAGAAGTGCAGTACATTGCTAGGGTGCTGGATGCGGTTCTTAGCTGCCTGCTCTGGGGTAGAGAACCGATTGTTCCTCGACTCGCTGAAGTCTTTGTAACTGCAGGACCCATCTTCTAGCCCGTATGACTGGCCGGGCATAATGGCTGGTTGCTTGGAAACACAGACATTCATCTTCTGCCCAAACATGAAGTTGTTATTAAGGTGAGTAATGGCTCGGTCCACAGCATAGCCATCAGCCATCTCCACCATGGCGGCCCCCGGCTTGCTTTTCATAAATTTCACCTTCTCCACATTGCCATACAAGCAGAAGACATTGAAGACTCGGTCACAGTTCAACTTAGATTGATCCAAGCCATAGACCATGAGCACAGGGCTGTCAGCGTGGGGGCCATAGTCGGGTGGTGGGGGAGGGGGTGGGGGATGACCATACTGGGGGCCATAGCGACTTGGGCCCCGACGGTGACCCCCCACAGGTGGGCCCATCCTTCTCCCTTCGTAGTGAGGTGGGGGGGGCCCGTAGCCCTCATCATGGTAATGGCTGTGGTACCCACCATGGGGCCCTCCATATTCTGCGGGATGATCTCCCAGGAGAGGGGGCTGCCGCTGGCGTTTGTTGGGATTACTGCCAGGGTCACCTTGTCCACTGAGGTTGGGGTTTGTGTAGTCCCAAGTATCTTGATCATTCTTGAACACATTTAAACGGGTAGGCTTTGCGTACTCGATCTTCAGAGTGCAACAGCCAGAATAGATGTCAGCCCCATTAAGTGAGGCCTTGGCCCGCTGGGCACTTTGCACAGAATCAAATTCCACCATAGCCTGGACTCCATTCTTCCGAAAAATGACAATTCTCTGGACAGGACCACAAGGATTACAGATAGTGTAAAGAACATCCGTGGTTATGGAGTAGATGGGGTTCAGGATGGTAAACAGAAGCACACTGTTGACGCTCCGGGAGTCATCAGAGTCGCCGGGGCGAGAGATCTTCTGGCTGGTGGAGTAATTGACAAAAGCAGGGTGCCCAGCGATGTAGATCTGGTTGTCGGCCGCGTAGTTCACTGCATTACAAGCCCCCAGCACATCTTCAAACTCCACCAGCGCCTGTCTCTTCTTTGGCATCACCACCACATAGCTGATGGGTCCAAATTCCTGCAGGGCTTCCACAAGGTCAGCTTCCACCACACCATCAATTAGGCCCCTGATGTGGACAACTGGGGAGGCAGGGGTTTTGTGGGGGTCATCGTAGTTCTCCCCGCCGCCGCCGCCCGCCGCCCCGGATCCTCCGCCGCCGCCGCCTCCGTGCTGGTCGCCGGCGTTTTCAGTCTTCAGCCGTTTAGGGGCTCGGCCTCCCTCGTTGCCGCCGCCGTAATAGCAACCACCGCCGCCTCCGCCGCCTCCGCCGCCCGCCGCCGCCATCTTCACCATCGCTCCCGCCCGCCTCAGCTGCTCGTCCGGCTGCTGCCTCTGCTCGAGCCGCCGACGCCGCTTCCCTAATAAAATTTTTTTACTTAAGCTAGGCCTCTAGTAAATTAATGGGGAAGGGCTAGAGAGAGGGTTTAGCTGGTAAAGCACTTGCCATCCAAGTACGAAGACCTAAGTTCAATCCCTGGGAAACATACAAAAGCCAGTCATCCTAGCATGCATCTGCAATCACAGTGCTAGGGAGGTAGAGATAGGTAGATCCCCCTAGAGCTTGCTGGCATGCAAGTCTAGCTATACATGGTCACTTCCGTAGACTTTAACTTTCTCTCTCCTGCCAGGCAGTGGTGGCACACACCTTTAATCCCAGCACTCTGGAGGTAGAGGCAGGTGGATCTCTGTGAGTTCAAGGCCAGCCTGGTCTACACAGTGAGTTCCAGGAAAGGCGCAAAACTACACAGAGAAATCCTGTCTCAAAAAAAAAAAACCAAAAAAAAAAAAAAACCCAAAAACAAAAACTCTCTCTCTCCTGAAGGCCCCTTGGCTGTTTGTGATAGTAATTACAAGAAACACTTAATTTTATTTTTCTCTCAAAATAAAGCTTAACATTCTTGCAATGTTTTGTGAAACCAATGGAACATTATATTATAATTACAATCCCTGTTATAATGTAAGAGATAAAATGTGACAAGACTTTATCTCTAACTCATCTGTTTGCTGTAGGATATTGTGGGATATTTGTTTATACTGACACTCCGAGACTGACAATAAAGTTCACTTTGAATCAGAGGGCAGAGTTAGCAAGTAGCTGACCAGAATTAGCCATAGAGGTTTTGGGGTTCAGGATAGAGAGACATAGGAAGTACTAGGGAGGGGCTTAGAAAGATTCACAGGCCTTTTGGATCAGGGAAGGAGAGAAAGAGAAGAGGATACTTGTAACTAGAGTTTTCCTGCCTGGCCCACAGTCAGGACAAACTCTCTCACCTGCCAGTCCCACAGCCCCTCAGACCCGACCAAGTAAACACAGAAACTGATATTGGTTACAAACTGTATGGCCGTGGCAGGCTTCTTGCTAACTGTTCCTACAGCTCAAATTAATCCATCTCCATTAATCTATACCTTGCCACATGGCTCGTGGCTTACCGGCATCTTCACATGCTGTTTGTCATGGCGGTGGCTGGCAGTGTCTCTCTGACTCAGCCTTCCACTTCCCAGCTTTATTCTCCTCCTTGTCCCGCCTACACTTCCTGCCTAGCCAATGGCCAATCAGTGTTTTATTTATTGACTAATCAGCAACACATTTGCCATACAGAACATCCCACAGCAGATACTGGTCACTTCTCTGCCACTTCTCTGGTCAATTAGGCTTTTACCCCCGAAATCTGACTCCCGAATTTTATTTAATAATACAACAATATAAGTAAGCATTTCATTTGGCACCCAACGCGGGACACAAGATCACGGGCAGCTGCTTGCCACTGGCTTCACAGCTGCCTGAGTCGCTGCTCCTAGCCTGCTGTGTCATTTAGGTGGCCCCTGTGCCCTCACTTCCCACCATGCATGTTTCTCCCGTACATCCCCCGCCACCCGTGTCTGCTTTTCAGGCAGCTTGCTCCCTCTCCCCATGGGTTGTGGGCTTTCTCTGGATCCTCTCCCCAGCCACTGCTGTGCTAGTTTGACCACCTCGACACCCACTCACACCTGCCTGGGCCTCTACTGTTGCTGCCACCACCATATACCCTCAGCAGCTGGCTACACACAAGCAGCTGTGGGTGCCCGCAGCCTGGCCCGTTCAGTGCAGCAGCAGGCCACTGCGAGCCCAGCACATGCTGCACTGGTCTGGCTGCCGGAGCACCCCACCACCCATGCCACAGCCAAGCAACACTGTTGCACAGCCCTGCTGTCACCGTAACCACTGCTGTGGACAGAATGAAAAGTCACCAGATCTGGTGGGACACCTGGGGATTCTTTTTTTGTTGTTTGTTTTTTGTTTGTTTGTTTGTTTTTTGAGACAGGGTTTCTCTGTGTAGTTTTGCACCTTTCCTGGAACTCGCTTTGGAGACCAGGCTGGCCTTGAACTCATAGAGATCCACCTGCCTCTGCCTCCCGAGTGCTGGGATTAAAGGCATGCACCACCAACACCCCGCAACCTGGGAATTCTTAAGGAGGAAATTCGGTTTTATTTAAAGAATCTTTCCCACATTAAGAATGGGTAATATTACAATGCAGGGAGTTGGGACTCTGCATGGTCCCATAATGAATGGTTTGAAATTGGAAAAAAACAAATGAAGGGATAACTGACATAGCTGGGATTGACATGGTGTCAATTATAATTATCAGTTTGGTAATTCATTTTTTATCCTTAAAAAAGTGGTTTGATATCTGTGCCAAATATAAAAAAGTTGACTTTGATAAGATATAAGACTTAGAAAAACCTACCAATGAAGTTAAGAAAAGAATTCTCACACAGACAGAGGAATTTAGATCAGAACCTACTGTACCATGGCATGATGAAACTGAAGAGGAACAGCCCAAGGTTATTGAAAACCAACCTTAGTTTATCCAGTTATCATTCAAGAATGACTACTAGATGATAGTCACCCCCAAGCTATGTAGAAGTTAACTGGAATCCTGTAGAAATGTTAGATTTGAGAAGATTTAAGAAAGCAGTCATTTCATAAGGTATGCATTCACTCTTTGTGAAGCAGATGCTTTAAATTCGTGGACAACTGGGAACAGAATTATCTCCCAGGACTGAAAAGATTTGGCTACAGCGATATTGGAAGCTGGTCCTCAGTTACAGCAGAGAACATGGTGGAAAGAGGAAGCTAGGGCCATAGAACAATGAAATAGGGCTAAAGGAATTGGTATTTCCAAAGATCAACTTCTCAGTGAAGCTTAGTTGGTATGCTGATTTGCAAAGACAGTTTGGATTTGATGATCACGTCTTGGGCCCTATATCATATAGCAGCTTTGAATTCTTCAGACAGGGTTGAAGAATCAGAAAAGAGGACTGACTCATTTACTAAAACTATACAAGGCCCCAAAGAAGCCTTCACTGATTTTTTTTTTTTTTTTTACAGATTGACTTCAGTTATAAATAGAATAATATCAGATCCAGAACTTAGACAAATACTAATTGAATCTTTGGCTTTTAAAAATGCTAATTCAGAATGCAAAAGGATGATTAGGCCTTTAAAAGCAAGATCAGCACCCATAGAAGAATGGATCTGAAATACAACTGACATTGGATCTCACACTCACAATGCTATTTAGATAGGAAAAGTGATTTCTAAATTTTTTTAAAAAAAAATCAAAAGGTCAGATATTTTGATTGTGGTAAACAAGGTCATCTGAAAAGGGATTGGAGATGAGGCATTCCTATAAACAATGTTTTTTCTAGAGATAATCCAAACAGAAGGCCCCAGCCTTCTGGGATATGCAAAAGGTGTGACAAAGACTGGCATTGGACAAATGAATGCAGATCAACAATGGAAAAGCAAGGTGACCTTTTGTCATTGGGAAATGCCTTAGGGGGGCCTCTCAGAGGCCCCATATCAAATTTGGTTCAATTATTCCATGCCAGCATTGGGAAAATTTATCCACAGAGCAATTAAAAGACCTAATGTCTGTTGTCAATAATCATATTACTCTGGATGACAGAACAGCTTCAGTAGATGAAATTTTCAGGAGAGAATATAAAACAAATATTTTAACAAAATTGTTAAATGATTAAAAACCTGTCTTAGGGTTTTCATTGTTGTGAAGAGACACCATGACCACAGCAACTATTATAAAGAAAACATTTAATTGGGGTGGCTCACTTACAGTTTCAGAGGTTCAGCTCAGTATCATCATGGTGACAAGCATCGAGGCATGCAAGCAGACATAGTACTGGAGCTGAGAGTGCTACATCTTGCAGGCAACAGGAAGTCAACTGAGTGTCACACTGAGTGAAGCTTGAGAAAAGAGACCTCAAAGCCCACCCCCACAGTGAAACACTTCCTCTAAAAAGGCCTCACCTCCTAATAGTGTGACTCTCTTTGGAGGTCGTTTTTTTTTTTTCAAACCACCACAAGACCAAAGCAAAAATACAAATAAATGGCATCATAAGCTAAGGTTTAGTTGACACAGGCACAGATGTAACAATAATTTCACCAAAATCTTAGCATCCAGATTGGCCTCTTCTGGAGGTAAATATTCAGCTTCTAATGACTGGAACTTTATCTCAGGTAAACAAAGTACAAGGTGGGTCAAGTGTATAGGGCCAGAAGGACAGGTAGGGAAATTAAAGCCATATATGGTCAATATAACAATAAATTTATGGGAATGTGATTTGTTACAGCAATGAAAAACACAAATTAACATTCCTCCAATCTCAGAAACAAACCATGAAATAAAGATTTCCTCAGAGAAAAATATTAAAAGGTATTATCAAGAACAGTCACAGACTGTATAGGATGCATATAAGCAAGACACGACAGCTGTTGAAATTTCAAAAGGAAGTGTCACTATTAGGAGGTGTGACCTTGTTGGAAGAAGTATGTCACTGTGGGGGGTGGACTCATTGTGACAGTCAGTTGACATCCTATTGTCTGCAAGATGTAGCACTCTCAGGCCCAGTCACATCTGCCTGCATGCTGCCATGTTCCCCTTCATGATGATAATGGACTGAAGCTCTGAAACTGTAAGCAAGATACCTCAATTAAATGTTTTCATTTATAAGAGTTGCTGTGGTCATAGTGTCTCTTCACAGCAATAAAAACCTCAGCTAAGACAGGTACCAACAGCCCTACTTTTAAATTGGTAAATGACAAAAAATTGTGGGTGCAACATCAGAAAAATTACAGGCACTAGAACAGCTGGTACAGAAACAGCTAAATGCTCAACATATTAAAGAATCAACAAGTCCTTAGAATTCTCCTTCATTTGTCATTGAAAAGAAATCTGAAAAACGTAGAATGGTAATAGATCTAAGAGCTATTAATAAGATGATTTAGTCAATGGGCTCTTTATAGCCTATGCCTTTTTTATTACCTAAAGGATATTCTAGTATAATGATTGATTTAAAAGACTGTTTTTTACTATACCTTTATAAGAACAAGATAGGGAAAAAATTTGCTTTCACAGTGCCTACTCATAATTCTCAGCCTGTAAAAAGGTATCAGTGGAAAGTTCTTACAAAAAGGATGTTAAACAGTCCCACCAGGTATCAATATTTTGTACAGCAGCCATTAGAAATAATTTGTAAATAGTTTCCTCAATGTGTAATTTACTGTCATATGGATGATAACTAACTAACTGATTCAGACACAGATACCTTAAAAAATGTTTGAAGAAGTAAAGAAAATTTTGCCTTATTGGGCATTACAAATTGCCCCTGAAAAACTACAAAGAGGAGATTCTACTAATTACCTAGAGATATAAGATAGGTTTAGAAAAATTCAACCACAGAAAGTACAAATCAGAAGAGATCAACTACAAACTCTTAATGATTTTCAAAAGTTGCTGGGAGATAGTAGATGGCTACAGCCCACAGTTGGATTAACAGCTCAAGACGTAAGTAATTTATTTCAAACCTTATAAAGTGAATTATCAGTTGAGGATGACAGAGAACTGGTTTTGGTATCAGAGAAATTACATGATGTACATGTGGATGACTTGGATCCAGAGCTTGATTGTATCCTGGTCACACTATCTTCTATGCATTCCCTTACAGGAATTCTTATACAAAGAGAATATAATGTCTTAGAATGGATTTTTTTAACACACAAACAGTAAAAAATTAAAGACCTATGCAAAAAAGAGTCTTCAAAATTGATTATAAAAGAAAAATTGGTTCTTCATCAATTAACAGGAATAGACCCAACAGAAATTGTGGTACCTTTTACAATGCTGAAATTGCTTCATATGACAGTAAGTGAGCATTGACAAAGAAGTCGCAGTAATTTTTGGGTGAGATTAGCAACAACTATTCTAAAAGCAAAAGACTTCAGTTTATAAAAAGAATTAATTGGATTCTTCTACATATTGCATAAGAAACACCAATTTTTGGAGCACCTGTAGTCTATACTGATACAAATAAATAAAAAAAAGATAGGTTATACATCAGGAAAAATAAGTAAAGTGGCTCAAAGCCCTTTTGATTATGAACATAAGTAAAAAATATCTGCTATTCTCATGGTATTATTAGATTTTCCAAAACCTCTTAATATAGTTACTGACTCTCAACATACAGAAAGAGTTGTTTTACATATTGAAGCTGCTGAACTTATTTCAGATAATTCAGAATTAACTTTGTAATTCAATTAAAGAAATAATCAGATATAGAAATCATCCCTTGTATATAACACATAATTAGATTCCATATGGGTCTACCAGGCCCTCTAACACAATGTAATGATAAAATTGATCAGCTATTGGTAGGAAATGTGCTAGAAGCCTCAAAATTTCATAAGAAACACCATGTTAACAGGAAACATTTTTCTATCACTTGGCAACAAGCCAAGGAAATTATAAGGAAATGTCCTACTTGTTCTTTGTATAACCAAGCTCCATTATCTGCATGAAGTAAACCAAATGGTACTCAAAGAAATTAAATTTGGCAAAGGGATGTGTTTCATTTT